ACAAAATATCGGAACGACTGATCGGCACAGAAGCTTTACTTCTTATGGGCGTAGCGAACACCGAAGACAACATTCTGGCTAAAGACACGGTCGTCACAACAAACAGCAGGAGAAACACGAACAAACCGCACGAGGAGAGGCTTACAAACAAGCAGCTCAACGCAGTGAGCCCCCAAACGAAGCCCAAGGAAAACCCGTGGCTGCGGCACGGGCAAAAACAAGACGACGGTCGTTGTCGCGCGCGATGTACTTCTCAAAACACGCGCTACGCCAGTTACCCTGCGCTTTTATAGCATCTGGTGACGCTCCACATTCGGACGCGAATGTTGCACCACCGCGCCGGAAGGAATGAATACTGAAACTCGCGCCATCGTACCCAGCTGCATTTAACGCGGTATGTAGTAGCTGGGTAAAACAATCCGCTGACAGTTCTTTCACCCGACCACTGTAATCGCGGTAACAGAAGTCTGATCGGTGACCTTTAAGCACGCCAGAGTCGCGCAGTTCCAAGAAGGCTTTTCCAGGACAAAATGCTGAACCGGCGCGCATCGGAAGTGGAATAAGAATATTATGTCCAATATATTTGTTTGTCTTGATAACGGGCGCCGAAACGAACAGGTTATCTTTTCCCCCCGTGACATCCCGAAAGCAAATGTGCAGTCGATTATTCGGTGCGGCAAATAAGTTACTCTTTCGCAACAGCGAAAAGAATGCAAATAGGCATGCCGTCCAAAACGCTTTCCGTACTTCCGCGGGAAGTCGGTGTAAGGCACTGTAGATGCCTTTTAAATGCCGTGTTAGAATAGGAGGTTTTTTATTAGGAAATTCCCTGCGCTGACGGCGCACTCCCTCCAATGCTTGCTTAATCACTAAATGCTTAAGATTGGGCGCTGGTTTGTTACGAAAATGATGTAACGTCACAATGGCTGCCACATAATTTTGCACCGACGAGAATTCAAGGTTGCGCGACAGCTCAGCAATATACAACCCGATGGTGCGCGGCTTCGCCGGTACTGGCTATAGTCGATGACGATCGCAAAAATTCAAGTATCGGCACCATTTAACTTTTCTAGTGCGAAGGGATGACGGCGCCAAAGCATTCAGCCGCAACGAGTTCAGGAACCGGTTTAGATTGGCTGTTTGGGTACCTGGAACAGTAGTCACCTGTCAGGCGCAGTGAACTCTGGCCACTGTTAATGCGGTCAACAACGGTTGACTTATAGAAGTCAGCAGTGGTGATCCGGCTCAGAGCATCTGCAAAACTGTTATCGGCACCAGGAATGTGGCCAGCGTCCACATAAAAATCATGCTGGCACGAAGCATAAAATACTAACTTCAACCACTTTAAAGCCTCCAGAGATTTGCGAAATCCGCGTTTTAAAAAGGCAACCGTGGACGAATTATCGCTTTCAATCAGTATCGTGCAACCACCGAACGCCGGTGCCCAGACCAAGATTGGTATGCAAGCGGCAACCATTTCCAAATAATTTATGTTCGTTCGTAAACTATGATTAACCAGCGGCGGACGAATAAAATTTGTCAGTACGCGTAGGTGATGGGAGATATTCGCTAAATCCCAACTGCCGGCTAACCAGCTATTACCCAATGTAGCACCCAACCCAGAAAACGACGCGTCTGCAGAAATGCGAATCACGCGGCGTGGCTTTGAGATTACACATTGCGTCATACCGTTAAGCTGCGGTGCGACTGTTTGCCACCAAACCAGCTCACTGCGGATTAGTGCAGTTACTCTCACTCTGTGGTGAGGCCGCTGCAGTTGAGTAACTGCATCTATAAAAATTCGGGAAACGCCCGTGCGCCTTTCACTGCTCGCGACGCAAAACAAATCAAACCCAGTAACGACTGCAGTTGAATTTTACTAAGTTTTTCATTATTTTCAAATTCAGGGCATTTAGACACTAATTTCTGTATCTTCTCTTCTGGTTGTTCCACTTTCTGCGCCACGGAATCGATAATTATGCCAAGAAAACGTACTCGTTGCGTCGGGTAGATAACCTTGTCCCAATTAATAACGAAGCCGAGCAATAAAAGTAATGCTATTAGCGCCTGCTGAGCGGCCGCGCATAATTCGTAGTTGTCAGCGATCACCAGGAAATCGTCCACGTACGGCACAATTTTAAAACCACGTCTACGAATCATCCGCGCGACGGCGGTAGATAATCGATGAAAAATACTTGGAGCACAAGACAGGCCAAAACTTAAAAAGTTATCGACATAGTATTCGTCAACTCTGTCAAAACGCCAACGAAAACCCAGCAGCTGCCGGTGCGGCCGAAACACGGGTACTGAACGGTACGCCGATTTTAAATCAGTGACAGCAAAATAAAACCCTGGTTTACATTCAGCTAATGCGGAATCCAACGTGGCAAAAGAGAAACTTTCACAATCGGCATAAGAATTCAGTGAATTAATTTCCGGGCGACTGCAATCAGTTATCGGGCGAAACCCGCCATCTTTTTTCGGTACTGCGCCTATAGATTGAACACGTATTGGTTTCGTAACCTGCCTGCTTATTTTGCCAGCACTTAACTCGTCACTAAATATTCTATCTAATGAAAATTTCGCGTCACCAGACAAAGCACTGCGGTAATTTTTGCACTCTGCAGTGCGAACTTCATTAATATCCGGTACAATAGCAAAACCAACGGCGATAACATGCAAGATAAAATGGCGATCGTGATTATCACCCAGCGCATAAAACCATTCCGCTAACGAGCGAGTTAAAGAACAACGGTCAACTAAATCTGAGTCAACAATATTAGTATAATGCAGGAGTTCACTGTCACCAAGGCAATTAATGCGAAAAGCAGTACGAATAAATTCATGCGCCGGTGGAGGAAACGCGCTGCTAATGTCAATAGCGAGAGAAACGCTCTCAATTGCGTTGTCCATCCGCGGTGTTGTTCCCGCTCTGCTGTCGAAATGCCGGTCCACGGTTTGGCTGCTGCCCATTGACATTTCCGGTGCGGCAACATTTCCGGTCCTTGATGAGGTCCGGAGCAGAATTCGCAGTGGTGTGGGAACAAGCAGTTACCGCGTGTGTTACACCTCCCATCGTTCCACCGATCACAGGCGAGATATGGCCCACGGGCTGTCTGGCTACTGGCGATTTGAGAGCAAAAACGAGGCGGGCCGTTATACGGACGGGACCCGCGCGGAAAGCGTTCGCTGTCTACAATCAGATTGGCAGCGTGGAAATGGCGGTGAATAATGTTGGTGCACGCCGAAAAATCGTTCAGCGCTAGCTTTTGCCGATTAGCTAATTTCCGAAATTCTTCGTCAAATTGCAAAACGTATTTCGAGTGATAATCGCGGGACTTCTCAACCAAAAATTCGATATATTCTACATACTCTATTAAAACCGCGTTATGATCGGGCGATCGAGCTAAGTCACGGATTATGTTCAGTGCGTCGCAGATAAATTTGCCAAACTTAAGGTCACGCGGACCTACTTTTTTACGTCCGTCATCTGCCAGCATGGCGCGCGAATAAACTATCTCGTGAGGAGGCTTCAAATCTCGGGCAAACTTAGGCAATTCAAAAGCGGCAAAATCTAACGGCTCGTCTAACATGTCACACTCACCCGACGCTTGGAATGATGGTCGGACCGTTGCCGGCCGGACATTAGGATGCCGCAGTTGGTCCACCGGACGCATGCGGTTGCTGCTGCCCAGATACACTGCGGGATGGATCGCCCGGGAGCAAGTATTTTGTCAGCTTCAACTGCTCACAGAGGATGCCAATGGCCTTGGGGATCAGGTCCGGATTTTCCCGAAGTAACTCCAAATCATCACCTTTGACGAGCCCATTTGCCTTAAGTTGCGCGACCCCTTCTGTGGAAAGGCCAATTATACCGGCAACCTCCTCAATTGGTCCAATGGAAATTTCTAGCTCAAGGGGCTGCACCTGTCGATTCTCCTCCTGGACAGGCGCTGAAGGACGGCCCGCCGCGGGCGGTGCCGATACGGTGGCATTGGAATGGGCTGCTTTGAAAGCGCTGAACAAGCGGTCCACTAGCTGAGCTTTGTTACCGGCGATTCCCTTTTCTAAACCTCTTAAGCGGCTTCTCAATTCTTCGTTCGACTTCTTCTCAAGATTAGTGCGTGATTCCATATTTGATGAGGAAATTAAACAACTGACTAAAAATCAACTGACAATAAAACTTAACGCAATTTTAACGAAACTGATTCTATCAGAACAAAATGCAATATATACTGACAATTCAACGAAAGGTCACTTGTAACGAATGCTAACAGCGGTAGCTAAATCGAAGTTATAAGTAATTGGCGCGATCGGACCAGAAAAAGAAAGTGAACCAAGTGGTCAGATGCAGATTGGGTGGTCGTTATCCATGTCTCTGGGAAGCGGTCACGCGTCGTTATAAACAGATTTCTATAGAAATCTTTCTCGTAATTCATCAGACAGAGAAATCTAGCTCTATCTGATATCTCTATCGATTTCTGTATGGCTCATTCTTGCCGACCTTGGGAGAAAATTCACTTCAGGATTGATCAGTAATATACCCAGTTAATTGAATTGCTGGTTACTCTCTTTATTTCGCTTTGTCCTCATCATTCCGAGAGTCTTGCACGTGCGATTGTATGGTTTCTTGGATCCTTCGATCTTTTTCTGAGTGAACTTTCTTGATTCGTTGCCTTTCCTGTACTCCGTACCTGTTTCGTTCAATTAAATAAGGGAATAACCCATACTTATATCGTATCGTGTGTCGCTATAATCAGTGGTATTCCGAATGCGGTTGAGCACATTTCGAAATGAGACTGTACATGTATCGCTTCCACTTTACAGTGGCTGTGTAGTATAACACTCTTGCGAAGATGTAGTGGCTGGTGGATGTTCGACTAAACTAACTATTCGCAAAATGCATCTGGCATCTGTATTAACGACTTATAAATCAATGGGCGGCTACAACATAGGCGTGTCACTCTCGTGGAAAACGGTCAATTTATTTATTCATTTCAGAACGTTTGGTTGTTTATTTGGGCTGCACGACATACGAATCGACTCTGGGGGAATACGGGAAGGAGCCGTCAAATATTCACGATACTTTATCGCAGTAAACTTATTGCACAAGTACCGGTACTAGTACTCAATCAAAAGAGCCGATTGCTATTATAAGCATCCTAAGAGTCACTGCTGTGAATCGCCGAATTTATTGTATTTGCTGGGTGCCTTTCATTCATTTCTCGGTCTCCGGTTCGCTGCTCATCATCCCCGTTAGCGAACATTGTGGGGAAGCATGGATGGCATGCTGGGCGGGCGACTAGCTCGACGAAGCGGCGTCGATACTGGCGTTCAGTCAACAGATAAATATAGAAATTCAACGAATAACCACAGTATGTTGATACCATTATTACTGGTTTCACGAGAGTATGTATGCTATCATCATCCATGTAAGAAAAGTTCCAGTAATACCGAGGTGGTATTGCCCGCGCGCACAAATCGAAAAACTTAGGGGTGCGCGTAATGAGATATAGTAGTGCACTGCTCAACAGGATGATGTTGATTCCATGCTGGGATAAGGATTTACTAGCAGATGTCGAGGTGGAAGCCCCACTGTGGGCTTGCTGGTTGCGTCGCATTTCACCAATTGAAGATCGTTGCTGGCGCACAAGGAAGGCAATCAGAATCACATTGGGAACAAGAATCAGCAAAAATGTTAAAATTTTTACCACAACCTGCAAGTAATGCATATATCACTAGACAGTATCGCCTTTCTTTAACAAATAATAGCAATACAAGGGCGTAACGATAGCATTACTAAAAAATGCAGCTAAATTAAGCGGTCTGTAATTTCTGATGTTTTCTGTTTTTTCTTTAAGATACTTTATTTGGCGTAGTAAAGTTTTCAACTGCTTTCTGTACGTACCAGCGCTGTATTATCTACTCGTTCCCATATAAAGTGCCATCCATAGACACTTTGGAGCACATGATAGTCATGAACCGTTTCAAAAATGTAACCCTTGACAAACCGGAATGCATAGCAGGCCAGCGACAGAATGACGAGAACGACAATGATAAGGCGTGCAGCCAGAACTCGCTGCAGAAATCCAAATCGAAAAGGACTGACAATAATAAGTAGGCGCTCCCACGAGAACACCACCAGGATCCTGGAGAAAAAAGCACGGCCTACGCGTTGCCCAAGTTTTCCTATGCTAAATTATAAACGGCAGCCTTACCAATCGGATAGACTCATTGCGGCTTCACAGAACCACGATAAGATTGGTGTACTTAGGCCCCTTAAGTGATAATACCCAAGCCCCTCCGTGGGCAAGAATTCGATCAGGCCGCACCACCTAGAATAAAGAATAACTGGAAAAAAATTAAAAGAGAAAATTTCTAAAACAAAAATTAAAATCTAAAAAAATTGCGTAGATAAAGCTTGCTCAAACTTGCCGTCACTGCACATATTTTGGCTTTTAGTGACAAACCACAAAAAAGCTTTGTTGCACATATCGGTATGCTTCCGCAGGTTTATATTAATTAAAACGATTAAATTTTAAACAATGAAAAAACATCCATAATCATTATAGTCATTCAAAATCTTATGATGTGCGCAGTTGCAGTTTCTCTGCAAAATGCAGCTACCCGCATTCTAGTTGTACGAGTATACTGTATACACTTGAAGTATTGCCAAAGACGCGCATGTAGCCGGCAGGAAGGTTGACGGGTTGATGGTTGGCGTTCAATGAAGGACTATCAACCTTCCTGCCGGCTACACGCGCAAAAACATGCAAACTAAAGCTGCGTCCAAGACGAAATAACAAAAGTCAGTGCAGTAATCCGAAAGACCGTGTTCCGTATTCGGCTAGGCAGCCTCAGTTGAAAAAATAAGATCTGAATAAAATAACTTTCTATATAACAAATTTCGATTAGCAGAACGACACTTTTGGCATCTCGTTACTTTTGGCATATTAGTCCATGACGGAAATTTTTAAAATCATAGAAGTATAGTTCCAAAGTGCGGCAGAATCAAAATGAAATGTTTACGTTGAAGAAGCACTTATTTGAAATATTTCATAAAAACCATAGAAATTATAAATGTCAGCTAAGAATTAGCGGAAATTGAAGTACCGCGCAATTCTGTCACCGTAATTCTGTCATTTCCCTGAACTTGCTATCCCTGTACCTTCCGGCACTGTTTTGGGCCGTGTGCATCTCGCCTGTGCACATAGCATATCGCTACTGCTTTTTCATAGGGGTTTTCACATTTTACTAACTGCAGAATTTTTCGATAACCACCCGCCGGCCATAGTTAGCGGCAGTAGTTGTTCTCATGGTTCATATTGTATGCCATTATCTCAATAACGGGGGGCGAAGAAATCGGGCACATACAACGGGGGCCCGCAGTGAGCTATCTGTACCGACAGCTAAGACTCTCATCTCAATTGCGCACCTCCGACCATGCCGGTGACTTTTCACTGCTCAAAACGCACACTGCGTCGCTTCACACATCGGAATGCCGCGTCAGAACTCGCGGATGATTTTATGGTAATTTTTACGAAATTTTAAATCAAAACTGATTTCAAATACTAGTATTAGCAGAGGAATACGACTTTATATTAGGTGTAAGGACTTTCATAATCTTTATGTGCAATTTTTTGAGCAAAGTCCAAATAACATCGGCTCTTGATGAGATTTTTGCTACGTAATCCTGTTTTGCATTTAAACTTGAGTGATACTTGGTTTTGCAAACCACTCCTTAACCGAATTGTTCTACGGCACCGAATGCTACATAAGTAGCATTCTGGGCAACTGGTTATGTTGCACAAGCACGGGCACGGCTGTCGAATGATGGTCACGCAAACGTGTAAGGTTTAGAGAAAAATCTGTATATTATTTGTACCTACGAGATCCACCTTCCGTCTGCATGGTTCCTGTTGAGTGGCCGCTGGCCGTGAGATTTTTGTGTATGTATATAAGCGCTTGGCGCTGGTAAGAAACTCTGTGTTGCATGTCATTCAATCAGCCGAATTTTTTTTTCCGTTGTGCGGATGTTTCTGTCCGGCTAGTAACCTCGCGCTGGATGTTAACGGCAATATATTCCAGCTCCCCCTGTTAACAATGGTCGTTGTTATTTAGGCGAGATCTCACATGTACAAATAATTCGGTTAATATCAATTAAAGGCACACGCTCCTCGTACTTTGTGCAAAAATTCACTCACTAAAGGGTGCCTATAAAAAACAGGGTGTCTGAAAATATATTAATGAATTAAAGAAAGGTGGCTATAATTAACGGGGTACAGCAAACTGATGGCTATAAAAAACGGGGTGTTTGGAGTGGGTATAGTGTCACCCATATGGCTCAATGCCCAGCTACATTCAAAGCTACGGGTCCCCTTAGGAAAGTCTCGCGGCCGGGCAGTACCTGTGAATTTTGAACACCTCCGAACCCTCAACAAGAAACCGCGTACCGAGGGCGTTCTGGGTCAGGACCTTCCACTGTACTTTTTTCATGCATATATTCATTAAAAAGTTAAAAAGTTGTATAAGTTAAAAATTACAATCGCGTTTGTGCAGCCATCGTTTTTAGCCCGGTACTTCGATGGATGAAAATAGAGTAAACACACCCGATTCCAGAGAATTATGACCAACTAAGACGTCGGTTTAGCAGTTGTGAACTACAGTACAATAACAGTCCCGCGTTCTTCAAGACTTCAACTTATGCACAGCAAATAAAAAATGGAAGAATACTACCTAAAAACTGAATCCTGGACGAAAAACTGCCGAACGTTCCGACAATGTACAATGCCTGCACGACAAAAAACATTAGATGCTGCGTTTTAAAGCACTTATGACTTTGCGCAAGCAAGCGCTCTGCTCGAACCAGTGCTGACGAATTGCTGAGCACTGCGCACTCCTTGCGATCATTCTGCTCACTGATCAAAGAATCTTATCGTGATCGCCGGTACGGCTATATTAATACGATCTGTAATATTTTGTGAGACTTCACACGGACTTTAAGGATTTATCATGGCCTTCATAAAGACAGTAGCAAGTGCACTTTGCCAATTGTAATGGCCAGCCACGTAATATATGACGATAGTTAGTTGTATGGTGACGTTGGAAATGTAGCCTGAGATGGCGTGCAATGGTGAGCTGGCACTTAGATTTTTCAATAAATTTGAATTTCTTAGCGCAACTTAGGCTCGTCGGTATAATCATCAAGATATATTAAGTTGGCATAGGCAAACTTACAGTGCTGCCAAATCAGCAATGGCGGTGCCGATCATGTAATGACACGCCGACGTCTTCCACGTGGAAACACTACGTAGAAGAACGATCAAATTCAACACATTACCCACCGTGCACAGAACCAACAGACAATAATACACAGTTCGGCATGCACGATAAGCCTCGCTGACTTGACTGTCAGTATAGAGCCATTCTTTGACTGAGTCATGACGATCACTTGCATTGTCTTTTTTACGAACCACTGTAACATTCGCAAGCTGCCATTTGGAATCATTAATGGCGACGCCGAAGGCAAAAACTAACAGAAAAAGCAAATTCAACGGTATCATTGTTCGTGCGACAACCGCCATCGTGACAATACCTTGAATCAAGGTTATCAAACCGCAACCGCACAGATAAAAGTAATCCTTGTTAGTAGTTGTTACGATCCGTGAAAGATAATTATTAACGATTGCGACCCGACTAAAAACTGCTGTTAAAAGTAGGCTGTCATGGGCCTTGACAGACTAATGGCCGTTAGTTGCAGCGAAAACGTATTTGCCTTTAAGCTCTTCGGCGATACGTTAAGACTGTAACTGAGTTTTTGCGATCATTACTGTAATCACATGTGCTACTCAGTACTCTCTTAATATTATGCCGTTTTGTTGCCTGTGTTGCAGTACTTCCCGAATAACTGACGGCTTTGTATGTTTTCATACTGTCTGTGTCTGCTGCTAAAAGCTGTCCGGTGCCTAGGTCTTTCCAATCAGTCTGTATTTATCGACCGTATGCATGCCTCTGGCGATGTAGAATTTTCCGACAGGTAAAAACGTAACACACTCTGCTGTTTTTAGATCTAAGGCAACATTTTTCTGTTCTGTCTTTGTATTACAACTGCAGAATCTTGGCTGCCACTAACGGAGAGGATAAACGCCCGTACCGCGCTCGGAATTACTGATAGAGTTTACGAATTACTTGAAAGTCGCTCATGTAATTTCTCATTAACCAAAATCGGCAAAGAATCTTATCGTCATCGCCGGTAAGCGTGGTAAACACGATAAAACGATAAGCACGATCGGTAAACACGATAACGAGTTTTGGAAGCGCGCTAAACGGAATTTTTTTGAACGTAGAACTGGCGCTTTCTACTTGGTTATTTTATTAATATTATGGCTATGTTGCAGATTTCTTGCAGTAACTGGCAGCGAAATGATACTAAGGGTAATCAATCCTATGAGAATTATCTCACTGATGTTTTGCCTGAAGTGGGGCACAACGCTCCGTTGCGCGCCCGTGAAAGATAACGCGAGTTAGTCACCACAACATTCTCAAGCCGAAAGCTAACGGCTGCGCTTATTGGTCCGCTACGTGATCCACAGATGAATTACAAAACGCAGCTTCGAAGCTGCGTTTTCTATTTCACATACACATTCACCTCCGTGGTTCAGTATAGCCAACGGAGCTTTACACAGTGGTCACCCGTAACATGATGAAGAGCTTTATGTTTATCAGCTAATTTACTAATAAATGTGATTGAGTATTAATGTGCATTACAAATTTATTAGACTAAAAGCTGCTATTAGTAATTGACTATTAGTGACTGACTGATTGCTAATTTAGTAATTACTATAAGCTATTGCTATTAGTAATTTATGATGTAGTTTAGATTGCGTTACCGCCTAATTCTTAATATTAATTAATTACGCTAATTAATTAGTTAAGTTACATTGAGTAAACGGCATTACATTAATCAGTTAAGTGATAAATTAATAATCACCCCCAAGCATTCGGATTAATGTGAGCCTGTGACCCTGCAGTACATTTCATTTTTGTGTATGCAGGCTTAAAGCACGATTCATTTAGCAGTCAGTGCTTGCGCTTTATCTGGTGATCCACAGCTTATTACTGGCCCAACGCATTCTCGTTTTTTGCTATGTGTCATCCTTCGGTGACGCATACAGAATTCACATTTTATTTCGCGATATCGTACTTGAAAAGATAAGTGTAGGATTGATTAGGCCTACTTTTAGTTAGCAAGAATATTCAATATCGAAATACTGCACACCAAGTCGACAATACCCAATCACACGTTTCCGGGTATGTGGTCACCCTACACACATTTTCTTATTTGAAACTTCGCCATAAAAAAAACCGAAGGCAGCTCATAAACTGAAACAGCAAAGTAAAAATCCGATGACAAAATCGAACCGTCACTATCATCGATTAATGATGATGCGCGTTTTCTGATAACTCCATGCAACCGCACCAATTTAACGCTCCTCTGGATTCACTGCATCTCCCAAATTGCTGTTGTTTCTGTGCAACAGAAACACTGCTGGAATATGTGGTTATTAACTGACATCATGCGGAACTAACTTTTCTTTCATCCGCGCCACAGCACAACCGAAAGCCATGATGCCCCTGGGCAGCTCGCAATCGTGAATGGTCCACGTGTCAGTGGCTTCGTTATAGCATTCTATGGAACTGTGATAGCCCTTTCCCTTGGACTGGGCAGTACACTGGGGTTAAGTACGAGTATACTACTCGAAGTACGAGAAGTACGGTGAACTGCATCAATTCTCAGGGGTAAAAGGGTTTGCCAGATCCTACGGATCCAACTTATATGTTTCTAACTTATAAATTTCATCTTAAAAGAATAAAAATTTTGATTTTGTCAACGGTACTCCCAGTTGAGACGCACAATGGGCTAGGTCGATTGCTCTGTGTAAGTCTTATGCGACGCGCAAGAGGCAGTCGGGTAAAAAAAACATGACGTCAGGGCGCGTAAGCAGGTAAACGATTTGATTGGTAAACCAGAATCTGGGATGGGTTTTCAGCTTACCCATGCGGGTAACCGTTGCGCTTCGAAATCGAAGCGCAACCGTTACCCAAACTACGAGTAACTCGTACTCTCCTGCAAAGATGAGCAAAATTTCGTTTGTTTTGTTACATGTAGACTTTGTTCTGATGCTCGGCTCGCTACTTCTCCCTTGCCCAATGCCTGAATCACTTAGTATGTGCCGATTCTCCTGTAATACGCTTTCTGATTGTTAAGGGCGATATGCCCGTACATGCTGTTATCTGATATACCGTTACACTTGTTGCTCTTATATACCGCTGTTTTTGTGCTTTTCTGACACAGTTACCGCCATACAGTCTGATTTCCTTAAACAACAATCCCTGACTTGCAATTGCCGTCTCGTTCGTTGCCGTTTATGCATCTTTCCGTTAACACAGCATATTAGGCTATAAAACCGGCCGGTCTTATGCCGCCGTGACCTTTCCGTTTATTTTGCTCTGCCATAAATTACGTAACAGTTTGAACCAAAAGTGCATCCAGCGACCCAGATTCACACTCGTAAACTCAGAATTAACTTTTTGACGTGTTACCACATTAAAGCATCAAAAATAAAATTTTCGGTTCCACTTCAGTTTTTCAGTTGTTCAATTTCTTTCTTGCCACGGAAGCGTACTCGACATACGATTGGACAATAAATTTTTCGCTGAGCCCTGGACAGATTTTTACGCGTTCCTTCGTTTCCCGCCGCGCAATGGTTACCCAAATGTAATTGACCTGGCCCAATGTACGTACTGTAGAGTAACCCAGCACTTGGCAGCTTTTTCGCACGATATGACCTGTACGACACCACTGTAGTACTGGCAAACGTTCAGCTAAAGTTGAAAGCAGCCTAAAGTTGGCTTCAGCTTAAAACCGGTTTCTAGCCAACTCGGCATATCCGGTTGAGCAACTGAACAAGAGAGTGGAGACTATTACTCAGTTAACGGCAAATGTGTTGCCGCAACGCAGGCGGCTTTAAACTGCAGTATGCTTTAGCGTGTAAGCGACTAGCGGCACATGTGCGGGGGAAAACAAGATTCCCGTACTGTATGAGGGGAAAACTAGAGGCCCCAAGCGAAGTACTCACTTTTCTTCAGCCACGTATTCGTAGTTATGTCGTACACCTCCACACAGTTTAACGTTCTTGCGGACTTTCCACCTGAAATACAAAGTGCGTACCAGAACATGCAGCCGGAGGGACGTTTCTAAAAGCCTACCGATGACATAAATTAATCCATTAGAGCCGACACAAGCGCAACATCCCCTCCGACCAGTGGGCATATCCGAAAGTCTCTGCCAAGCATTGCTGGTTGGATCATAGCAAAAATACGGACTTTAAACCAGATCTTTGCGTTTCGGCTCCGACTGTACGGAGCGATGCCCCGCCGAAAATATACAGGCGATTTTTAAAAGCAACCATAGCAAAAGCAGCCAACTTTCGTGGTAAATCAGCCGCAAACTGCCAGGTTTTCGTCCGCAAGTCGTAGAATTCCATGGACCGTACTGGTGTAAACACATGCTGGATATAACTGCCTCCACCCGCCGCGTGGATACGGTCACTCAGCGCCGCTACCCCGGGATAAATGCGGGGAATGCGCATGTCCGCCACATACCTCCACACGTTACCGACCGGATCATACCGACAGACCCATCGGCTTCCACTCTGGGCACCCGTGGCCTGTCCACCGCAGACAAAAATCGACTCATCCGCCGCAACGGCTGCACCGCAGTTAACAACGGCATTTCGGGTTTTAGCAATTTGCCATAAAACAGACGTCGATGGACTGAACACGTGCACTTTCTCTTGTTTTTCCCCGCTTCCTTCCAGACCATCAAGACCACCAACACAAACAATTACTTTCGGGAAAGCTAAAACATTACAAAATAATGTTGTCATAAGTGGTCTCCTCATCGCAATTTCGGACATTAATCCTGAAACTGAAGGAACTCTGAACAGTGCAGCCACGCTTACTTTTATGAGCGCATCCATTATTAACACACACAGCTTGCAGCTAGTTAGAAGGCGAATCGACTGAAGATTTAACCGGATATGCAGCAGTGTGTTGTTCATAGCGTACAGATTTCCTTCATATAGTACTTCCTTGTCGACCTACCGCCATGCAGAACAATTTCCACAAATGTTAATTCCAAATTCTAAAGGCAACGCCAACCGCCAAAAGTTCGCTAATTTGTGCTACAGTGCTACTACAAGGTAATTACCGTAAGACTCGCGTGGTCGCCAAACCACCACCGCGTTTTTCCCGGGCAGTTCGCTGGAAACTTCTGCTGGATCGTCTTTGTTAGGCGCCTACGTGTTGTTGGATCCATATACTTCAACTGCCAAGGAAAACTGTTCAAGGCAATTAGGACCCAGGAACGAAACTCGGATCAACTGCAACACGTCCCAAAAGGGCGCCTGACGGACAATTGGATCGTGATCAGACCAACGCATCACGGCGGCGAAGACTTCATCCTCCGTGTCCACGCGCAAACCATCAGATGCACACAGCCGCATTATCTGCAATAATATGCAAGAGAATCTCAAGAACTGAAAACATAAAATACTCAGAATAGATCAACCAATTTTTTTATATAATGCGGGCATTCAGTTTTAATACGAACACCATGTCCCTCTGCTGTCGGAGCCTTCCTAAATATGCCTAAGCCCCGGTCAACATTCCTTCGCCGCGAATGTTGTGATGTTTGTTTTTACCAATTAAGAATTATCCCCCAGAAGACAAAGACTACCGTTTCTCCGTCCAGCATCAGACAATCGCTGCTCTGGCAAATGTCAACAAAATAACGAAGAACCAAAGGTCTGGCTTTTTCTGCAAGTTGCGGATTTGCGTGCAACGAGGCCAAACAATACACCATCAAACAGTTCGCGACTGTCATGTGGCTTTCGATGAAATCCAAGCACTTTGTCGCTACTGGAGGAATATCCAAGAAAAGTGCAGCTACCAATACTGTTTCAACATTTTCTTCATCGATGGCGATTTCCAAGGAATACGCATATTGCACCAACCTGCGGAAGCAAAGCCAGAAAGAACTTTGTAAGCACTGAAATACGTCGACGCTAATTGCCATCTTGAAAAATTTACTCTGCAAATTAAAATAATTCCTTGCAAATTTATAAAAACATATTAATTTTTTAAAGGAACAGCTGGCAAAGCCAAGTACCCACCGATCGTTAAATCCCATAATACGTTCTCCAAAAGGCGCCCGAAAATATTTTACATATAATATAAATATTGCTCTGAATGGTGTCCCTGTTAATGAGCTCTTATTTTAGGTGCTCATGAACGCGGACATCAGTATTTATAGAAAGATTTACCTAAGGTTTGTGCTAGTTTCGCATTATGTAACGTACTGCTTGACCGTCTCCACGGGAATGTTCTTCAGCTGAATCTCGGACTGAGATGCTTCCTTCCAGTCCGAAGTGAACATGGTACAGAAATAGTTGCTGCAGGCGCTGAGAACGACGCGATGACACGGAATGCCAGCGTCCTCCTTGTCGCAGCCTTTCAGCACCACGTCACACAGCCTGCCTGTCAGCTGCAGATCATGCAGCGCACTGAAAAAGCCCTTCGACAAGGAAACATAGGGATCCACGACAGTCAGTGGAGAAGAATTCTCTGAGTCTGAGCAAAACTCACTGGAAGACTCCGAATCTGATGAGGTAGACATGGTGACACTAATATGCTGGGATTTTCAGAACCCAAAACAGCCGCCAAAATGTTAAACCAGCAGGACAGTTTGCTTTGCTGATGCTACCAGCCACCAGGGAATTATGGAACCGACTGCCTCGAAGACAAACGTATGTTGAAGCCCGAAAAGATGTGCAGGATAAAAATATCGGAGATGCTGTTAAATTTACTGTTACTGTATTATTGAGACCATCAGTTTTAGAAAAACTACATAAAACGAAGATCAAGGGCTTAGCTTTAGAAATTGAAAGATACGTCCATATTTAACACACCCAGTCGGAAGGCTGCCGTGCGTACTGCAGCCCGCGTGCGCATGGTGCTGTGTCAACCGATTGCTTGGTTACCACGACCCACCTAATTAATGGCTGGCACGGACGTCTCGGACGATGATTGACACTTCCAAGTTCCAATAACTTTCAAGTCATACTGCATCATTCAGCTTCCGTACTCAGGCTTAATGTCACAAGCGATTCTGTAATATCGTATTTGTGTATGGCCTGCTCGCCAAACTGTAGTTCTCGGAGCTTCTCGTAAAATCAATTGTCGACAAGTTTGCGCTGCTACTACAAAGGGCATTTCAGAAGTTTCATTAAATGTTTTACCGGCTGGTTATTTAAAGTAATCCATAAAAGCTAGTAATCCATAAAAGTTATATTTCTTGTTTTACATACCTTATACTGTAAGCTATCGAAGGAAATAAATATTTCAGTCGTTGAGGTGGAACTGTCCAGGAGGAAAATCGTTTACCCGGCGCTGGTTCGGGCAGCCAAACCACTTCCTTTTCAGAAAAATCAGTTTTTTTGCAACCGTTTCTCTCAAGCTTTGCGGTTTTGACTTTGGTTTACGATATTGAGTGCTACTTGAGTTCTTGTTATCATCATGACAAAAAACATCTCACGAATTTTTCAGTTTAAGTATCAATTTTCCCATAGGAAACTTCGTTTCTTAGATTTTGTATTTCCTGCCTAGCGGAACTAAAGATGCTTCGTCAATAAAAACTGTATCTTTAGCCTAGTCCAATGCGCCAAAGTCATCATTAATTTCTTTGCCAGAGTGGAGACAAAAATGTTTTTCACTAACTTTTCATAATTTTGCTATCTGCAAGCATATTTTAACATTCGATTACAAACAATTTTGGTTTCCTTCGAAAAAAAGAACCCGTAAGATTTGGTTTCCGTGTTTTCCTGATTAATTTTGTCGGAGAAATTAAAAAAAGGGAGAGAATCTTTTAGAACGTACTTTGTATAAGGTAAAAACACGGATTTGCATAAAGACACTAGTTCCAATCTTTGTTACGTAGCAAACTACGTCAAGCAGCTAAACAAAACAAGCAGTATGAAAATGGCTATCACTATCGCTATAAAAAAACGTAAGCAGTATAAATCTGGACTTCAATCGCCGAAATTATCCATGGTTCGTATTGTGGCCACGTCCATTCCATCATCATGATCAACCCGACCTCGAGATCGGATGAGCCGGAATTACCGTTGTCCCTGTAAAGCAAAGAAAGCATCAAGCATACGCGAGTAGTTGACTAACCTGACTATCTTGATTTAACTTGACTGTCTTCCGCCTTTCGAACTAACTTTTTCTTCATCCGCGTCATCACACAACCGAAAGCCTTGATGTTCTTTGGCAGTCGGCAATCATGCAGTGTCCACGTATCGGTGGCTTCGTTATACCACTCAATCGAACCGCACCCGTCGGGGCTCTTCTCGGTCATGCCACCAAGAACGTAAACCTTCCAGGCAAAGCTTCCACGTCCGGCCATACTGCGTTTCAAAATTCGTATTACCTTAAATTGAATGAAAATGTTGCTGTGAATTTTGAAACAATATCATTACAACCCGCATCGCTGTTGGCAGAAAGAACCCACTTTTCTTAAGCCACGTGTTCCCAGCTATATCGTAGACCTCCAAGCAGTTCCACGACGTTTCGGTGTCTCCACCTAATAACACACCAAAAAGCGGAATAAAAAACGTTTAACCACAGTACTCAGTATTGTTATTTATTTATTATTATTTATCGTTATTAGACGTTAAGTGCGGTTTAGTCATGACCGTGGAAGATGTTTGACGCATGATAACCGTGTATAATATTGTATAACACTTGAGTGCTACTTTTAGTCGCTAGATGAACTTGCACCACAAAGTCTGATGTGTATGGAAAAACGTATTATGCACTATCCTGTAGGTACAAAGCCAACTACAAGTTTGTACCATCGCACTAGTCAATTCGCCAGTCGAAACTTGCGAATCAGAGCTCGCGCAATATTACAAATTATTTGCACCCATATTACTAATAAGTTACTGTTAATTTTCATTATTACATGTATTTCACGTACTGCTTGAGCGCCTCAGTGGTTGAACGTTGTGTCACTGTGCAAAACATATTGTAACTCGTATATGTGTATTTCGTTATGAAAGCATATTATTATCTGTACTGAAAAATAGGATGAACTTTGGAATGTGGTGATAAACAGCAACGCCAGAATGCCTATCATGTTTCGCTATAGTCAGTCACGCCTGTCAGTGGTATTCCGACTGCGATTGAGCACATTTTCAAAATGAGACTTATCGCTTTCACTTTTCAGTGGCTCTAGTATATTAAACACTCTTGCGAATACATAGTGGCTTGTGGATGTCCGGCTAGCTACCGGTATTCGCAAAATTCATCTGGCCATCTGTACGAACGACTGATAAATTAATGTGCGGCTACAACATAGCCGTGTCACTCTCGTGGAAGACGGTTTATTCGTTTATTCATTTCAGAACGTTTGGTTGTTTACCTGGGCTGCACGACACACGAATCTGGCCCTAATGGAATACGGGAAGGAGCCGTTAAATATTCACGATACTTTATCGCAGTAAACTTATTGCACAAGTACCGGTACTAGTACTCAATCAAAAGAGCCGATTGCTTTTATAAGCGTCCTAAGAGTTACTGCTTTGAATCGACGAATTTATTGTATTTGCTGGGGGCCTTTCATTCATCTCCCGGTCTCCGGTTCGCTGCTCATCATCTCCGTAAGCGAACATTGTGGGGAAGCGAAGCATGGATGGCATGCTGGACGGGCGACTAGCTCGACGTTGCGGCGATACTGGCGTTCAGTCAACAGATAAATGTAGAAATTCAACGAATAGCCGCAGTATGTTGCTACCATTATTATCGGTTTCACGAGAGTATGTATGCTATCATCATCTATGTAAGCAAAGTCCCAGTAATACCGAGCTGGTACTGCCTGTGCGCACAAATCCAAAAAACTTTGGGGTGCGCGTAATGAGATAGAGCAGCGCACTGCTCAACAAGGTGATGTTGATTCCATGCTGGGATAAGGATTTGCTAGCAGATCTTGATGTGGAAGCCCTAAAATTCATTTTAAAATTCGAAAAAAATCGTGGAAGTCTGGATCCGTGTAAGAACGATCTTCATGGTTATGTGCATTTCTTGCAAAATTTGAAAGGGATCGGTCCATAATGAGACTTTTAGTTAACCTGAATGCATTTAAAAAAAAACTGTTTGGAATTTTGTTACCCTCACAACTCCGCAACCGGACGTTGCGCGCGAAAACGGATTTCACGCCTATGTATACAAATCATTTGTCTACACATTGTCAAAAAGCAACTTACAAAAGTGATTGGAAGTGCGCGAAAGCGAATATTCCCGTGTATGTGCACGAATTTGGTGCTATGTACCGGGCCAAATCCCTTAAGCAGCACTTCTGTCGATGTTTTGCCCTTGAGGATCCTCATCATCGCAAATCCGAATGGGAGCAATATCAAAGCGAGCAATAAATTTTTCTCATCGGAGGACAAACACAGTGGGTTCTTAGTATAATTCCGCGTAATGTCGCAAATGTCAAAAGGAGATCCAAAATTATCATGACCGTGAAGACAAAACTGCAGAACTGCAAGTAGCGTCGCATAAAAGTCCTACGCGAAAACGGCGACTTGTACGCTGTGAAAAAATCTAATATAATGGCAAAAAAGCGGCTACGTACATTGTTAAACTGTTTCATGATTGTCAAATCATCTGATATCTGATTATGCCGGGTATGCTAGCCTAACATCCTAGAAGCATTACTTGTCAATGCACTTTATTGAGCTTACTGCACCACTACACATTGTTTTACATATTAAGAGTCATTACAACAATATTAAGAGTATTAGGAGTAATTACTTATTGGTCTGATATAGTTGCGACTTCCCTTCTTGCCAGCACCGCTATAAATAAAGTCGAGCGGCGGTGCGCAGTTTATGGAGTGTTTGTATCAAATCAGTCAGGCTGTACGGTACCCCTTACGCACTTCGATGTTATAATTCCGTGGACGATTGGCTCTGTCTCTCTGTCGTAATATACCGGGTTGTTTACTAGCACTGGTTGACTGATGTACTGCGGTACTGATGTAGGTATGCCAGTACAATCATGAAGTTATTGCAATTTAAGGAGCAGCTCTGCATAATGATGAATGATAACCCTGCTTATCACTTATTAACGAGCGAACGGCATTGTTAACCGAACGTAATCGTGGTACCGTTGGGTAATAAACTGCTTTTAATGTAATTATTAGTACAGAGAAGCTCATTAATCTTGATAAAACCCAATTTCATTTTAAGGTGCGCTTACTGTTCACGTAACGTTAGGAAGGTAAGATATTTGCACAGTTGTGAATTGGTCCATCATAAACAGGAAAGGCCAACGAAATTCTGCGCAGTTAACTGTTAATTGTTATCATTCAAGCGACAGTCGTAAAGTGATCGTTCGGTGCCACAATACGTTCTGATTGCAACGATAACAAGTTAGTTGTGATGAGTCAGTTGTACTTAACTCCACATGACCTCAACTGCAACGAACCGCGGTTGTCCCAGCCGAATATACGCTTCGCACAGGAAGGCAGAAATAAAAGCTTCACGGCACAGCGCACAGTAAGGAGTTGTAGTTGCAGGGCGCAGAAAAATATCGTAACCAAATTTCGAATGAGGTAGTGCCAGCTGTAACTATAATACTCGTGCACTTCCATCTGAGGCAACAACATCAGATTAAGTAGCGCCAAAGTTCACTTGAGTTTATGCTGACTTCTGCATCTCGTTTAATAATATTTCTTCAGTTATGAGCGAAAAACTAGAACAGAAATGTCTCGCACGGCTATCGGTATACTAATAGACGTTTCCGATAGCATGCGCCAGGTGTACTCGGACATACAAAGTAAAAATGAAGATGAAAAAACCTCTCGAATGCAGACGGTATTTGATACGGTTGTTCAAGCTGCCTCCGAAGAATCCGGAAAAAGCAACTGTGGATTATTTGCAGTGGCATTCGGGATCAAAACAGAATCTGGAGTCGAGTATCTTATCGACATTTTCTCGTTGCTGAAATTCCAGAACATTGTTCGTCGACACATGAAGGAAAACGGATACATTACAGACGACGACAGTAATCGTCCGAGATGGCATGAAGATGGACAGGTAAATTTAATGCGATAAAACCGGTATACACGGTGTAAGACAGAGTCATGTGCACGGAGCGAAAGGTAGAGCAAAACTTTGTGTACGGAGTAAAGGCAGGACACGGTCTACTTAAGGAGCAGTCGGTATCATGGGCGATCCACTAACCCGGATCCACTGTTGGATCCGGGGTTGAAACTTTCGATCCGTGTCTATTGTTATTTATCGGGCGATCACTTCTCCCGTACTCCGTAGGGGCGATTCACGAAACTTTTGATTGTAACCACAAATAGGCTCTTATTCGTGATATTTACGAATCAGTTGTTATACAGTGCGTAATGGTGTTAATGTGTTATATTACTTATAATATGTAATCCAACGTTTCTTATGTTCTCTTCGGTTTCGTATTTTTTCTTTTTCTTATGCTTATGGAGCAGTCACTATAATAACAATTACTGTATTTGTCATCATAATAATTTGACTTTGTTAGCATAACTGAAGACAGCGATGCAGAATCCGGAACCCCGCTGCAGAGTACAATCTGGGCGCGTAGTAACTGGAAAGTTTATTCCGACAGAAACAAATTGCGGTTCTAAAATTTAGAAATAAACTCAGTTTTTGCAAAGAATGAGCTTTCACATTGTAAGGTTTTTAACGCCACCAATATCAAGAAATTAGATCTAAAGAAGATTTTAAATATATACATATGAAAAAGATTATCTGTTTAATTGCAGTTTTCTAATGAAAGGCTTTTGTGTATTGGTAATGCACGATTCCACTAAATATAAAATAACGATTGGTGCATGATATGTGGATTTGGAAACATATTGAACAGCAAGAAAACTAAGTATGCAAACAATAAAGCAATGAGACTCACCTAAGTCTATACGAGGTACGTAATTTTACGTATTATTTCTGCTTTCAAAACATTTATTAATACAGGTGAGAACGAAGATGTGAAAGTGTGTATAGTTCTGTTCCCTCCCAGCTGGCCGCCCGTTTTCAAAAGTTTTCTACGATCCACACACAGATTCTCGTTTTTCCGCATGGGCGCGGCATCACCTGCAGGCTTTTGCTAAGAAGCATTTTTTAGCTTAAGCGCTGAATGCAGTTAAACTTTCCATTATTTTATACCTGGGTTTGTCCTTTTATGCAAAATGAACCTATCGCTCTTGTACTGATGGACGGTGTAATTTGACCTGTTTGTGCCTGGCAGCGTGTTTTAGAAACTGCATCAAAAAATACTTCCCTACAAAGCAGCCATATGGGATAGCCCAGGGCCACCACAGGACTCGCACAACTCATGATAGTTCGAACCATAATGATTTCCTTGATTTGGAAAATGCATCTGTGTGTATCTTCCAATTTTGCTACTTTCTCCGAAAATAGCAATGAGAAAACTATTATTGAGATAACTTTACGTTATCGCAAAGCGTTATCTCAAGTTCGTTGCGCAGGCTTGGAGGTCGCCTTAATAAGAAGTAAAACTGCGTGTTACTAAATATCGGACGAAAAAGCCACCGGTGAGTAAAACGGTTAACTTTAGAAGTCAGGAAACATGTTTTGTTCAGAAAAAGCATCTGACCTTTATCGGTTCAAAGGGATAGGGAACCTTCCATCTCTGAAATCAAGCTACTGTAATCTGCGGAAGACCAGCGCGCTGTTGTTCCTTTTAGTAAGCTTATGGTAGGCCCGATCAGTCCCAGCTTAAATTTTCGAGAAAGATATCGCGAAATAAGATGTGAAAGCAGTATGCGGCACTAGGATGGATGATGGATGATTGATGGATATTGATGGATGACACAGCGCAAAAAAATGAGAATGCGTAGGACTGAGAACGTGATCCACGGTCGCAGCTGCGTTTTCTACTGTATTTCACATATACATACGATACTGATTCACCTCCGTTCTTCAGCATTGGCAACCGAGCTTTGTACAGTGGCCACCAGTAAAATGCTGAAGCATTTTATTTCTGTCAGCTAATTTGGTAATGAAATGTGACTGAGTTTAAATCTGCATTACTAATTCAGCGCGCTAGACTAAAAAGTTTGCTATTAGTAATAGACTATTAGTGATTAACTGGTTTCTAATTTAGTAATTATGATTATCAGATAAAGTAATTCCTATTAGTGATTACTATTAGTTTATATTACCAATGTTGTTCTGGTTTGCGTAATCAGGTCTAACTACAATAATAAATTACGCTAACAAATTCGTTAGAATACTCTTTACATTGCGTAAACGGAATTATATTGTTCCGTCAAGTTATAAATGTTTAGGATGCCTCACTGCGTATTTAAGTCTAACTACGTACAATAATTAATTACGCTAAATATTTACCTAGTTAAGTTACAATGCGTAAACGGAATTACATTATTCAGTTAAGTTAAAAATTATTAGATTATTAGATTATTAGATTAATCAATAATTGCCATCAAGCATGCGCATTAATATGTGCAGCCCTGCAGTACAATTCACGATCATTTGTCTCTACGCAGCACAATTATTTGACGGTCAGTGACTCAGAGCTCGATTTTTATCTGGTGATCCACTGCTTATTACAAAGTACTACTGGGTAGGTAATCGACATAGTCAACAGGGTCAGATCTGACAAGGCTGAATGGCATGTGTTACGAGTGCGCTCATACTCTCACGCACACCAGCGCGGCAGCAGGAGAAAGAGATATACGGTACTAGGTCGACGGGAAATAGTTGGCATTTGCCTTGTACATTATCTTTTTGAGAACAGTCATAAGGATTTTTACACAAAAATAATTCCAATAAAACTTATTGTGCCCTTACCTCAGCCCCACTGAGAGCGCGTGGAATATTACACGACCATATGTATGAGGAATATTATTATATGACCTGAATACGCATTTAAGCAACGTTCGTCTACTGCAGTAATTGCAGTAATGCGAAACGAACCCACCGTGTGAATTATTGCACGGGCTTATGCATTCGTGTGAACATACGAGTAACATTGCACACAATAGACCTATGGCGTTTATTAGAGCGCTTACTCATTTGAGCCCTTTGTATCCGGCCAATTGCCAAACTCGCTGATGAGCTCATGGCCTGATGCATCGGTATAATTCCCGGTGGCCGCTTGATGAACAAGAAGCTTGAAATAGTAGAATGATCGTAAAAATAATTCGCATCGTTTTTGTGATAGGGACCTGGTTATGAGTTACTGATAAGTTTGCTGCGATACAATGGAGCACCTAATTGTGATGAGTATGTACGCAAGTACCTGACACAGCGCGAGTGTTTCTTCTTGCACACATTCTACTCCAAGGAGCCGCACCTGCTGGCGACAGCAATCGATGAACTGCCATCTGCCTGCCGGGGGCAGTTTGCAAAGTATGCATACGATGGCTTGAAAAAAATGACAGCTCCTACTGGTTTGGGAAGCCTGGTTGGTTATATGACAGGACCAACCAACGACACAGCTGAAAATGAACGCCTCAATGCGAGAATGCAGGTTCAAAAGTGCACCGATCACATCCTTGAAAGACACAGCCATCCTGGCTCCATCCACCTGAAAGAAGCGGTTAATATAATAGAAGAAGCTGCTGAAATAGGCCATAAGAAAACAAGGACCAAGAACTTAACAAAACACCAACTAGACCGGATTATCGATAGCATCGAACCTTATATCTACGGACCCAGTACATCTCTGTGTGCAGCTCTGAAGTCATCGTATTCCATCTTCGGGAATATTGAAAACAGGAATGCAGAGTGGAAGATGTTGCTAGTTATGACTGACGGTTATCCAACTGATGGCGAATTACCACACGCTCCTTGGAACCAAAAAATTAATGTCGCGACCTGCTTAATTGAAGACAACAACCCTCGCCTTCAGTACCGAACACTCCGGTTTGCAGCTGACACAACGTGGAGCAGCCCAAGGCAAGATCTGTTCAACCTCTGCACCACTGTACCAAGCCTGCAAGAAGAAAAGAAGCGTTGAAATGGTCACCAAACAAACAACTGATGGCCAAACAAACAAGAAACATCTTGTTTACAAACATACTGCATACGACGTGCATTTAACACAAACAATTCGGCGTCACAACACCACCTTATGTTATTGATTTACGATACATCGTCCAACCCGGTGTACCCCATTTGTTTGTTTAAATTTTCCCCACCCATTTCACCCCTTTCTTTGATTAAATTTTCCCCTCCCTTTTTCTCCCCTTTTTTGTTTTTGCCAACATAACATGCATCATTTTTTTGAGTTTATCACTTTTTTTTGTTTTTTTTGTTGCTTTAAAGTAACAAGTGAAACAGTTGTTTATCATTTTCCAAAAGTAGCCGTAGCACTGCAATACTGCAATCGGTATTTTTGACGATTTGTGATTTTTGGTTTTTGTTTTTCACGAATAATAGGTGAAACTTTACACTAACACAAAAAAACTCGGATTTTTTGAATCACCACAGTTCTGCAAACAGGACACTGTATCAATCTATCTGAACAGTTATTGCAGCAGGCCAGATGATTACATGGGCGGAATACAACTTGGACTTCATTGTCTAAGCAGACCTTACATTGCACTTTCTCCAGGGGGTTATTTTCTCTTTTCCTTGCCGCATACGCTTGAGATACCTTGTCACAGGTCTGCGCTGATTCCTTTGCTTGCTTGGTCTGAACGTCGTAGACATACTGTTCTCCTTTTTGTGCTATGACAAATGGACATATGGGCGACGCTCTGGCGTGCTCTTCCCATGCTCCATCGGTGGGAACCCATCTTTCAAGCTCTCGTCCGCAGTGAAAGCACTGGACGCAATCACCGTTCCCGTTATGAAACCAACCGGCTTGGGCCATGACCCTGGGATGCTGAGCTTTTGATTCAGGCCACTCGGCAAATGTAGAAAAACGAGCCTTGTAATCCATCATGTCTGGAAAGCGCACAGCGTAGCTATAGGTCCCCGGAATAGCAACTGGCGCTGACGCCCACACCTCCACGACGTCTTCTCCTTCCGCAGTAATGGGTTCAGGTGTTCTCTTTGACATTGGACAGTTTGGAAACAGTAATTGATGATGCCGCCTTGGGCTTCGGATTTTACCCCATCCGGACATAATACCGTCACAATATGCGCACTGAACTTCATCCCCGGTTCCACGATAAAACATTCCGGCTAAGGCCAAGTACGTCGGTGGAAGTAAACTATTGTCCCAATTGGTGTGTTTAAACGTAGCCAGACGATGGATCACATTACGCATGTCCATTTTTGCTGTTTAATGACAGAAAAACTGAATCAATAAAAGCCTGTTTCTAAAACCGAAATCTAAATTTTGCTTGACCATCATAGTTTATATATAATACCAATAAGGACGAAGCTTCCCAAGTCTCCGCCTTTTACACCTTCTAACAAGGCTTGCAGGGGAAAAAAGGCGGAGCAAAATTATCGATTTTTCAGCCAATCGCTACAGTCTTGTGTTGGGAAAAGTTTGACCAATGGAAACCATTGCTTTCCATAAAAAGGCGGAGTTTTGGAGGATTTTATGCGAATCAAAATCCAACACTTTGCAGTCGCTGTAGTCGTGAGGATATAAAAGGCTAGCGGGTAAACCTTGAATTGTCAGTTGCTTTTCAGTTCCGTAAGAAAAATTGTTTGCTACTTGTTAGTCGCTTTTGCAATCAAAAAATGGATTTTGCACGCACTTTGGAGATTTTGGGAGAGCTGAACGGATACATCATCTATAAGGTCAACAATGTGGTAAGTATGTTTTGGAACACGAAAAAGGTCAGTCTTGTTCTAGCTTTTGATCAGGAAACAGACGGTTACAAAGATCATGAAGAGGCGTTCCGGAAAGGAGTGCGTCTGGGATGTAGTGAAATTTCGGACGTCCTGAATAAGTTGAAAGCGGGAACTATCCAAGCAGCGATGGACAAGGCAATCACAAGCAAATCTGCGGAAAAGGTCACTCTTGCCGGACCTGCTTGTATGGATGTACTTCTCAGTATCCATCCTAAATATGGGCGGATGATCCGCTTTTCACAACCCGGGCACTCTTTACAGATTCCATACCGAGGATTTTTGGATGTAGCTCGCATTGTACAGGACAGCTTCTGGGGTCCTGAGGGAGTGTCCATGGATACGTAGGCTAACAGCATTTGACTTGTGTAACATAATGCACTATTTCGATTTACTATGTTTTGGTCTTTTACTAATGACAATCTACAGCTTTGTCTGGGATACTTTTAGGTAGCAAAAGAAAATTAAATAGGATAAAAAAAAGGGCTAATGCCTCTATTCGCGACAGACTGAGTAAGAAACGTATATAAAGAATTCGTGCTCATTCTGTCGCGATTAGTGTGTTCAGCCATGGAGATACACAACGTTATTTTGTCCGTCAGGTTTGACAGAAGGATCGACTTGGACGCGATAACCCGTGTTTTCGGGAACGATGCTACTAAGATGAAAAACTTTAACGCCGTTAACCTTCGCTTGAATGGTAACACATTCTGTCAACTGTTTGCGAACGGCAAGGCCATCATAAACGGCGGTAAGTCAGTTGATGAAGCGGAGCAACTGCTGCTCTTTTATAAGCTGATGTTACTTCTGCATGATTTTACTTTGGAGATTAAGGTACGTAGTATAGCAAATATCGTAAGCACTTACCGTCATAGTACAAAAGTCAATCTTGCCAATTTATACAATAAAAGCAGAACAATACCGGAAGTAAGTAAGGCATTTTTTGAGCCTGAACTATTTCCAGCAGTTCAGATTAAATTTAAGTATTTAGGAGCCACAGTTAACGTGTTTCATACGGGTAACTGCGTTCTTTTAGGATGTACATCCGTTGTACAAGTGCAGGCAGTTGCAGAAGCGATAAAAAACCTCCTGCAGTTAATTAACCAAAACTCCCAGTAATCATAAAATTTTAGACTTTTCAACGGAAAATTTTCGGAATTTTTGCGGATTTTACAGGTGTGCTGAACTAGGGGCTTAAGGTCGAATTATCTGAGGTTTTAGAAATGGAAAAAATCACTTTTGATTTTCGTTTTAAAACTCCTTGCACGATTTACATTTCAGGACCAACAATGTCTGGGAAATCAACGTTTACGTTGCAACTCTTGAAAAACGTTTCACAAAGTTTCACTCCCGTCCCTACTCGTATTGTTTACGCGTACGGTACGTGGCAAGAAACCTTTTCAACTTTTGACGAATCTATTGAACTTGTACAAGGCATTGATTCCATTATTAATGACGAAAGCTTTTTCAGAAAAGGTGATACAACGCTGCTAATTTTGGATGATTTAATGGAGGAAATAGCATCTGCTACTAAGGCATCCGCGTTATTTACCCGTGATGTTCACCACAAAACGTTTCTGTTGTTTTCATCTCACAAAACCTTTTCAAGCAAGGAAAGAACATGCGTGATATTTCTCTCAACTCACAATATATGGTCGTATTTAAATCTGTTCGCGACACACAGCAAATAAAAACGCTAGCGCATCAGCTGGGCATGCCACACTTGCCAGAAGCTTATAAAAGGCTATAAAGGAACCGTTTGGATACTTATTAATTAACTTACGTCCGGAAACCCCCGACAAGGCCCGCTTACAATCGAATATTTTTGGCTACCGAAGAATCTATGTAGAAAAATGAAGCCAGAAGAAATTCTCAAGCTAATCGACGCTCTACGTTTGATGACACCCAGACAGCAGAGAGCGTTTTTTCAATTTTCTACTACTAAACAGGTCGCTGCAATTGAAGAAGCCTGCTTGAACCTTATTAAGCAACCAAAGGGGTTAAGTAAAACACATTTAGCGAAAGCACGTGCTCATGTTGGAAAAATAAAGCGACTAGCTAATCGGAATTTAACGCGTGAAAAAAAGAAAATGCTTTTACAGCAAAAAGGTGGATTTTTAAGAGTTCTTCTACCAGTTTTGGGAACTCTTTTAACATCGTTCCTAACAAAATGAAGACTTACGTGTTAGTACCGGAATCAGAATTCGTAAGTGGCAAAAATAGGTCAGGTCCAACATCTACTTGGAAAAGGGCCCAAGAAATTAGCGATAACATGAATCAGCAGCTAATGGTGCGAGCCGCCTTGGAGAACCAACGTCCGGTTACGCGCCTGCCGGTTAGCGAGACACCAAACTATACCATAGAAAGCAATACCTTGCCATCGGAACTTTTGCATAAGCCAGCAACCGTGTCAAAATACGTTGAGGCAAAGCCGCTAATGCAAGATGCATTTTTCAAACCGGACCTTTGCTTGAGAGCCGTGGTATCCAGGTTAGTACAGCAACAAATGACCAGCAAATTCAAGCAAATTCGTCACCCCAAATTGAGTACGTACAGTCCGAGCCGTTGGTGCATTACGTACAAGTGCCCGCGGACCCAATCGTGCACTATGTTCCTACAACCGTGCCGAGCGAACCTGTTGTCCACTATGTTCCAACCCCTTCGAAAACTTTAGTCAAACACGTATACAAATCCCCAAAAGTCCCACCAATAACTAAAAAGCGTGGTGTTCCAAAAACTTCCCGTAACACCATGCCGAAGAAGAACCAGGCGCCAACTATAGAGTTTGCACCGACACCACCAAGCATACAAGATGCACCGCAAGAATCACCAATTGTTGAGTTTCCTCCTGACGGAGTTCTGGATTACGAACCCCATGAAAATCCAGCACTACCGTCAAATATAAATGCAAAGGCACTTAATTATCAACCAAATGAAGTCTCACTGCGACGAAGTACACGTAAAAATTCAGCGTTACCGTATGCTGGTACGCGACTAGCCATCGAGGGACCTTCCACCAGCTTACAGGTTTTAGGTAAGGCGTTGGCTCCAATTAAAACCGCGGTGCGTCGTAAGACTCGCGATAAAACTGCTCTGTTGCCGACGTCTACGCAACTGTCTGTTGAAAATGCCTTAACTGTTCCGGGGCTAACGGGCCCGTCGGCACCCATGCCAATTGAAGCAGCGCATAGAAAAGCTATAACATACAACCCACAGCCTGCGAAAACAAAAAAATAATGTTCAGTTAAGTAGCAAAAGGATGAAGAACAAGAAACCAACACATATAGGCGGAGAATCGCTAGAGCCCCAACAAAGTTCTACGGGCCACCACGTAAAAAACAGCGTACAACACAAACTGGAGGGTGGTTAAACTTTGCTTAAAATGGTAACACTAGATGAAATTTACCTGGATGCCGGGAACCCCGGTAGCCTTGGAGGAGTTGAGCGTCTGTTTAAAGAAGCTCAAAACATAATTATACACGTCAGCAAGTTGAACAATACTTACAGTCTAAGGACGCGTATACACAACATAAAGCATACCGCTCAAAAGTTTAAGCGAAGAAAAATTATATCAGTAAATGTAGGAGACCAACACCAAATTGACTTGATGGATATGCAAAAGTTTCGTAAAGAAAACGATGGTTTTAATTACGTGCTGACGTGTGTTGATTGTTTCTCCAGATATGGTTGGGCGGAGCCAGTGAAGTCAAAAAAGCCGCCAGAAATTGCTGCAGCGCTCAGCACAATTTACAAACAATGCAGTCCGCCACTGCGCTGTCAAAGTGATAACGGTAAAGAATTTGTTGGAAGAGAAATGCGTGCATTTTTTAAAGAATGTAATGTAACCTTTTTTACTACTCGAAATGATGATGTAAAATGCGCAATGGTAGAACGACTCAATCGTACCATTAAAAACCGTATGTACGTATACATGACTGAAAAAAACACATATCGATACATAGACGTTTTGCCACAGATAATGCAAGGGTATAATAGCACTGTGCATTCTTCAACCGGTTATGCTCCAGAAAACGTTGGAGTAAACGAGAGCAACTCTATCCTTGAACGTATGCTCAGCGAACAAAAGAAATCAAAGGGGCCCGCATTTACAGCTGGCGACCATGTGCGAATTGCCAAAAGAAAAACACGTTCGAAAAGGTTACGAAACAAATTACACGGAAGAAATTTTTAAAGTAGTCAGAGTTTTAAAACATAAAAGCCATTTTTTGTATGCTATCGAAGACCTAGCTGGTGAAGCAATCGACGGACACTTCTATGCTTCCGAACTGTCAAAATTTGTAATGACTGAGAGGCCATACCATCGCATTTCTAGGATATTAAGGAGCGCACACACAAGGGTAAAAAACAATATCTGGTACATTGGTATGGCTACGGCCCCGCGTATGACTCTTGGGAAAACGCAAACGAATTAAAATGAGTTTTACTTGACACTGCCATCTTCGGCGTCTCGTGATTTGTATCCAAAAAACTGTCCCGGACATTTCACAACTTTATTAGCCAGGGCAGTGGATCTGGACGGTACCTGGGAAGTTGCGTTATCAGAATTAATACTTCCTCCTATGCAGTTAAAATTTAATAGCGGCTTAGTGGTTGGTATTGCGCGAACTAATTATCCCACTCGGGAGACTCGTTTTTAAGTGAAAAGCATATCCGGACGAAAACCGGTTAATACACGCTGTTAATGTGCTTTTGCGTGATGGCGCGACGGATGATGAACCAGTTTTATATGGTCATATCGTAGTCAGTGGTAACTCCTCTGAACTAAGTATCAGACCAGACACCACCCTGACGTTCCACGGTGCAGAGTATACCCGTGCTTTGGGTTTGCTGCAAGACTACAGTTATACGGGCAGTGATAGCCCTACTTATGTCCTCCACCCGGGGAAACATAATCGCATTGTACACGTCTACTGTGACATCATTGAATACGGTCTAGTGGGGGATGCTATGGTTCCTTTGTTGCGCACGATATCAACGCAAGCGAGCTCGTTTGAAGAAACGTGCATCCGTTTTGAAAGCCCTCACTACGTACCTATAGCCCGTCATACGTTCCAAACAGTTGAAATTAAAGTATGCGATGATTTAGATAATGAAGTGTTTTTCCATCCAGGTACTGCAATAATCAAACTACACTTCCGACTGAAAAAACACTAAAAATGGTACTCCAAGAACTTAAATTCGATGAATCTCGCTACATTCAAATATTCAATCGTCAGCACGGTTACGGAATGCCCGTTTACCGCGGTGCACCAATGACGGGTGGCAGCTTTTGGGGTCGCATCATAGGATTTGCGCGGGGTTGTTTAGTAAGGCTGCACCTCACATCAACAACATGATTGCTACCGCCCAACCACACATGAAGACATTTGCCTCGAAAGCGGTAGAATCAGCCATCGATAAAGCTGTCGAGCACGTCAGTGAAAAATACGTCAACAAAGCGGCTCAGGCATTAAGGGACGAAAGAAAAAAATAGTCAGCATTAGTAAGAAGCAACGAGCAATTGACGCGATAAAAGACAAACTGTAGCAATGGCGCTTATAGAAAACGGCTCAGAGCCATCAATGTTGTTAGAGAGTCACTTATTCTACTTACCTTCAACACTAACGGAACGATGGAATACCAGAGATTATTATTTGGGGCCCTCACAAGCCACGACCGACGAATCCAATGATTTTTCATTTACTGTAGCTCCATGTCAGTCGGAATTGGTTAGCTTAGCCGATATTCGATTTACGTGCGATCTTCACGATACTAATGCAGCTGGAACCATACCAACGGATAGCGACTGTTTGGCCCCTATTAACAACATTGTACACAGTCTTTTCGAGCAAGTTAGTGTTACTCTAGGCGGTCGCAGTATATCGGACAGTAGCTCGATGTATCACATTCGCGCTTATTTGGAGAGCCTTTTGGGTTATACAAAACAAGCGCAGCTAACCCAACAAAGTCTGGGTGGGTTCGCTATGGACACTGAAATGTCCAAAGATCCGATTTTCACAGAGAAAGTAGACGGAAAATCATCTTTCCATAGTGAAGGTGCTGAAAAAGGCGAAAGTGGATACAAACATTGAAGCCACTCCAGTTGTCAGGCAAGTTGCACTGCGACTTGTTTCAGCAGGATCGCCCACTTATACCAGGCGTAGAGTTAAGCATCAAACTGATTCGTAACCGAAAGAATCTAGCGTTTATTGCCGATAGCGACCTGGCAGCACCTAAAGTTGTAGCGATTCGAATCCCCGATTGCGTATACGCAAATACGAACCAGCTCCGGATTATCTTGCCGCAATGACAAAGCAACTGGTTGGCAATAATGCAAAATATCACGTTGAACGCGTTGCGATGCGGCAGTGTACTCTGATATCTGGTCAGCAACAACACGTGTGGGCGAATATCGTGATTGGACAGCTCCCAAAGGTAATGTTCCTAGCCCTATCACCCAGTCGTTCTTTGCTGGGGAATACAAGTCAACTCCCTTTAATTTCGATCATTTTAACCTGTCTTATGTCCATGCCGAGATCGACGGCCAGCTGTTTCCCACTCGAGG